ATAAGAGGTGAAACTTTAAAACTCCACTAAAGACCAATGTCTATCTTTGACCATTTTTAGGCAGGATAACCTCAAAATGTATGAACACTGTCTGCAGCACATACAAGATATTTAGGAATCAGTAAGATTTGATTGTGAGCTTGTTTAGTGATTCTGCTTACTATAGTTCAAGAAACTTTAAGTGCATACTTCTACTGTTCTACAAGGTTGAGATGCATATTTAGTCTTTCAAACTCATTAGTCTAACTTGTTTTCTTTACATAATGACAAATATAAACCTCATTGCCTTGGACAATGTTGGCAACTGTTGCTTAAGTAAATTGAGATCAGGAGGCTTGGTTAAAGTTTTCTTCTGATTCATTATACATCATCAACTGTGATATTTTAACTCCTTGTTTAACCTTTCAACTATCATGTAGAAAAGAGTATACACGACATGTTTCTTTGATGCATGACGGGAATTAGGGCGAAGCCTGGGGCGGTCTTTGCCTTCTTAACACGCGGCACACCAACTTGAAGTCTTATTTGAAAATCTCTCTATACCTTCGCAAAACTTCTCGCGCCCTTCTCGTAGTTTTGACTTACTCTTAAGCTTAGGTCTGTGATACTCTATTCCTTGTTTATTTTTCCTGGGAATCATCCCAAAAAAACAACAAATAGACACACATAATCTATATGGAAAAAGAAGCCTGTTTCATTAACTGTGATACATTTTGATAGCTACATGTTGAACCAACAATAACCTAAAAATCATAGCTACAGATGGAAGCCTTTAAACCACAGGTATGGGCTTAATCCTACCTTTCTGATTCTGGCTTTGGGATTTTTTCCGTACTCATCTCAATAGCAGTCAACGCTAGGTTCAAGCTCAACTATAGTCCATACTCATCTCAATAGCAATCAATGATAGTCTTTCTGATTCTGGCATTGGGAGGTATATTAGGAGAAGTCCAGTGCAATGTTAGATTCCATGGTATACTATACACACATCATGGGCCAGATTTATACTCTTATTGATTTTAAGGGGTACACGATACAAAAGGAAAATAGAAAGTGAGGAGGCTGGTTGTTTGTCCCTTTCATATATTCTGTATTTGTTCCTGCAATTAACATATTATTCCTTGTGAAGCTATGTGGTTATCTATTGCTCCCAAATCTTTCTACCACCAGACAAATATCCAATTCTTACGTCATTTCCTGTCACTGGTAAACAGTCATTAGTTTCAATGTATTTGTTAAAGAATCTGTGCATCCAATCCAAATTTAATCACTACTTGGAGAAGTAGCAGGTTCTTTATTAAGCACTTTCGGACTCTACTTCATTCATGTAGGATGATAACATTTGAAAATGCTAATGCACAAATAAGAATATTGCTTCGTATGGAAATTGGAATGAATTTGAAACTCTGAATTAAAGCAATAAGTTAACTCATGAATAGTCTCATTTTTTTCAAAGTCATGGAAAGAAGAAGATAAATTTGAAAAGAAAAACATAATCTTGCTTTGACTCAAGATATGAGATTCATTTCCGCAGAACGCCTTAATAGCTATCTGTTTTTTCTTTTCAGTCTGAGTTCATGGTACTTATTGTCCCCTTTGGTCCAATAGAACTCACCAATTTGTCCCTTGAGTTATGTTGCATCGAGCCCAAAAGCATATATACCATGTAATCTTGTACTTTTGTCTTATACAGCGTGTCACTTTCTTCTCCCTTTCCGATTTGGGATTTGCCTAAAGTATCACATGTATCCCTTCTTAGGAAGTTTGCTAGCGTAAAAGCCTGTCAGTTCTTCTTCTTGACTCGCCACTATTAGCCCCCCTCTGTCGTGGGCGTCAATTTTTTTAATATGTAATAGTTAATGTCACGATCCGTATTTTCCGCCCTCGGGACGTGATGGCGCCTACTAATGTGAGCTAGGCAAGCCGACTGTTTGAACCAATTACCTTTTTACCCCTTTTATATTCTTTAACAATTATAAAGCAATAACGTGTAGACAGCGGAATTTACAATAAGCGGAAGAAAAGCAATAAATTATCTGAATATGTATCTAATACAACTGTTTGAGCATCGACTACCCAGAACTGGTGTCACAGTTTCACAGACGGTCTAAGAATACTACATACAAAGTCTGAAAGATAAAAGATACACTGTTTCTGAAATAAGTAAAGGAAACAAGATAAATGAAAGATAGGAGGTGACGCCAAGGCCCGTGGACGTCTGCAGGACTACCTCGGGTCGTCTGTGTGGACTGAAGACAACACCCTCACTGCGGTTTAAGCGCTCCGATATCAGTATCTGCACACAGTGCAGAGTGTAGTATCAGCACAACCGACCCATGTGCGGGTAAGTGTCTAGCCTAACCTCGGCGAAGTAGTGATGAGGCTAGGACCAGACTACCAAATAAACNACAAAAACAAGGAAATAGAATAAACATGCACACACGTAATACTGTTGCAGGCGTGCAACCCGATCCCATTTCATATATTACCGTTGCAAGCGTGCAACCCGCTCCTATTTCACATATTACCGTTGCAGGTGTGCAACTCGTTCCCATTTCACATATTACCGTTGCAGGCGTGCAACCCGCTCCCATTTCACATATTACCGTTGCAGGCGTGCAACCCGCTCCCATTTCACATATTACCGTTGCAGACGTGCAACCCGCTCCCATTTCTTTTGTCAACACCAATCAAAAAAAGGGGTCCCGGCAAGGGATCAATAATATCAAACAAACATGGCTAAATACATAAGTTGACACCTGAACTATCGACTAAATCCCTGTTACACACTTTCTGTGGGGGAAAATAATATTACACACTCAACCTTTTAAAAGTGTGTCTAATACACACCACTTTAGTATTTGACCACTTTTTCTCAACAAGTGTATACCACGCACCAAAAAGATTCTGACACGTGTCATCAATTTAAAATAAAAGGAAAACACTTAAAAACGATACTCCATCTTCTTCATCGTAGTCGTTGGAAAATCCTGTCAAAGCAAAGCCAGAAACCTTGTCTTTTCAACCTTCAAAGTGATAAACACAAAAAATAAAACTTCCATTTTCACCCAAAAACAATAAATTTTCATTGCATTTTAAAAATTCATGGCTGCCACAAAAAACATAACAACCACCTACCATTTTCGAGCAAAAGATCTCAGATTCCTTCTCACCCAAATCCACCACCATAGAAACAATATTTTCATATTCAAACAAAAAGAGAGAAGAAAAGAACGAGTATAAGCCCCTTATAATTTGGATTGCTATACTCTAAGCTTGTAAATTTTTGCTCAATTTCAA